ATGTATTGGTGAGGTTCAGCCATACACTATCAAATATAACCCTTAAATTTTATCTTGGTGAACTATGTTACATCCCCTCTATTGGACATTAAATAACTGAAATGAAATGGGGTTTAATGTCCTACAGTGTGCTATGAGGGAAATTTTGCCCGGGCACTGGCACTATGGCCTACTCTTATATCAAATTCCCACTGTCAAGGGTTCTTTTACGTGTATGCCAATGTGTACACAGGACCCCGATTTTACGTACCATCTGAATGACTAGACAGTTGTCCTTGTCATGGCCCTCTGTCCTGCACCACTGACAAGGGGAAACCACATTGGAAAATCCTGATGAACTTTCTCGACCAATGCAGGGATCGAACACCCTACCTCCAGGCTACGTTAAATAACAGAGTAAAGCATACATTATCGCATGCATAACACCTGTCACTAAACGAAAATTAACATCCTCGATGAGATTGGCTATAAACTAAGAAATATCCACTTTTTAAATGGCTATAAACTAAGAAATATCCACTTTTTAAATGTTATCTAAGAGAAAATGTCACTGTAAAACAGTCCCTTTAAAATGACATAAAATAAAAAATCAAGCATACCATATCTCATTCACATCACCTGTAACTAAATAACAGCTCTAAACATCCTCATCTAATTCAATTAGCTACACACTACAAAATATCAACTCTTAAATGTTATCATGAAATGTGATTCAAAAACATCAAACAAAAGAGTGAGCATACCTTATCGCATGCACAACACCTGTCACTAAATGACAGCTCTCAACATCTTCACCTAACGAGCTAAGAGTATAAACTATCAAATATCAACTCCCAAATGTTATCTTGGTGAACTGTGATTGTGAAACACTCCCTATACCGTGACATTAAATAACAAGAGGTAACAGAGATATGCAGAAGTATGAATCAGATGAATGGTGGGGGATCCAACCATGAAAGACTTGACACGACTTTGATGTTAAAATTCTAGCCTTTCAATTTCTCTCCCACTACTTTCACTGTGGGTGACTTACTCTCACTGATCGCCACTTGACATTTACGGCTTGTCGTAACGTAATTACAATTTTTCAAGATGTAAGCAGACGATGTAAGTGTTTCTATGTTTTAACTAATTTTCGAATGGGTCTACTTTGCCTAACAGCATTTTTTTTTCTTTTTTAAAATAACACATACGCTAATACGAAACTAGAATTTTTAAGATGTAATTTGTAAGAAACGAGCTTAAATTAAATAATATTTATGTCTTGCACAGTACATCAATATTCTTTTTATCTTACTACAAGAACACCTCAAATGATACGGAATTAGATTTTGTAAGATGTTAGTTGAAAAAGATTGTTAAAAAATAATTAGTATTTTCTTTTACAACTTTTAACAAATTATACACACCTTCAAAAATATGAAATTATAACTTATAAGCAATTAAAACTTTCTTTTTGGACCTTTCAATTACACTTCTGAAAACATCAAATAATACTAATTAAATATACCAAATAATAACTGAAAGTTTTTATGATTAATAAGAAATTTTTATGGAAAGTCTATAGAAAATTAAATTATTACAAAATTACTGTTAAAAAATAAACAACCCAATTGATTACTGATGTATAATAATTAATTTTTGAACAGTTGTCTGGAAATTAAACTCTTGTAAATTAGACACTCATTATCAAAATTAATCAGTCAACTGGACACAAGTACAAATTAGATGATTTTTGGTGATTTTAAATGATTTTTACAATATTTTAAACAAAGATTTGATATTGAATGAATTTGAAAGAAATTAGTGCTAAATACACAAGATTAAACGATATCCAGGTTACAGTGTTTTTCATCCCATCCAAACAACTAGATCTTTTTCTTTGAAAGGTCCTTCCGTCCTGCACCACTGACAAAGGGATATCAGACTGAAAATCATGAGGCCCTTTCCCAGGTTACAGTGTTTTTCATCCCATCCAAACAACTAGATCTTTTTCTTTGAAAGGTCCTTCCGTCCTGCACCACTGACAAAGGGATATCAGACTGAAAATCATGAGGACCTTCCTCAGGTTACAGTGTTTTTCATCCCATCCAAACAACTAGATCTTTTTCTTTGAAAGGTCCTTCCGTCCTGCACCACTGACAAAGGGATATCAGACTGAAAATCATGAGGACCTTCCTCAGGTTACAGTGTTTTTCATCCCATCCAAACAACTAGATCTTTTTCTTTGAAAGGTCCTTCCGTCCTGCACCACTGACAAAGGGATATCAGACTGAAAATCATGAGGACCTTCCTCAGGTTACAGTGTTTTTCATCCCATCCAAACAACTAGATCTTTTTCTTTGAAAGGTCCTTCCGTCCTGCACCACTGACAAAAGGATATCAGACTGAAAATCATGAGGACCTTCCTGGAGACAACCCCGGGAGACAACCCAGGATCTTCATACTCACCCAAGCTACCAATTCGTCAACTATGTCAAGGGTTGTACTATAATGCTTCACAATTGCAAGGTAATGCCACATCTGTTGATCTGTGAGAATAGCTCATAAAATTAAATGAAATAAATATAACAGTTGGGGATATTCTTGAAATTCTTGATGAAATGGCTAATAAAATATAGAAGAGTAGCAATCAACAGTATATACCGGTAAGCCTAGTCAATTGTACAAATCAATCAAATAATTGTTATCATTGATCTAAATGTCAACACAAATAATTGTTATCATCTATCATAGTATGTATTCACTGATCAATCAATTTATAAACATTCATTCAACTATCATAGTTTTACAGTCTAGACAAAATCGTGGGCAATGGCTTGAACAAATGTATTATATACACCATTCAGTTAAACTGGTTCAAAAACAATGGCAATCGTTCGGCCAATTTAAAATTTTAACACAAGGGTGTGGCAAATAAACCAGTTTAAAAACACCACCTCTGTACCTGTCTTCGAGATAGCTTTTCTTAAAAAAGAAAGTTGGCTTTCTTGACTGTGTGTTTGGGGCAGCTTGAAAAATGCCAACTCCAGTCAGCTTTATGCCTATGCATAATTAACTTTAATCTCTAACTGATGAGGTCAAAATAGTTTGGCCTATAGTGAACCCTCCACTCTCCTGGCTTCGATAACATTTCATGCTCATTTCAGATGAAACATTTTGAACCATACCCAAACAGCTCGAAACACCGGCAGGCTATGTGTGCATAACCCCATAATAATCTGTTGTATTCTTTTACTCAGAAAAACCAAATATATACCAAGTAGCAAAATATCAAAGACATTTTTTTGTCGAAAGGTGTTCTGCCACCAACATGGCCAGAAGACCTTATTGTTTGGCAATAAAATTTGCCCACTTGGTGCACAGCTAGATAAAACCTTCAAATCCCTCAAGGACAACCTTCCACAGTTAAAGATCCCCGGGAGCACTACTGAATTATTGAAGAGGTATTGTACGGTGGTGATTTGTCTGTGTTAAGAAATATCAATCTGTCTGTCTCTTCCCTTTCTTTGTGTGTGTGTGTGTGTGTGTGTGTGTGTGTGTGTTTTTGTGAGTGGGTTTGGGGAACTCTCTTTCTCTCTCTCTCTCTCACTCTCTCTCACAATATTTCACTTGGGCATAATGGTCTACCAGTGGGAAGAAACTAGAGGACCCAGAGGGCAGAGATCACCCATAAGGCTGGGCAAAATAAAATTGGTATGGGCCTAAAGACAGAATTAAAGAATAGTTCACAGTAGTAGAGAGTACAGGTGTTAACATTTGATACAATTCAGGTAAGAACAGGTAACTCTAACACAATCATCAGATGTTGGAGTGATGATATAATATACTTATATAAATACAAAACTGTCGAGATTGACCTTTTAAAAATGTTCGATTATATTATTACAACATCTACCGCACCAGGTGAAGACTCTTTTCTCGAGATTCACGCAAATTATTTCCCACGTATGATACGCTTGTATCCGCTCGTGAAAACCCTAGGCTGTATAGAATTTCTTTAAAGTTTATTCTTTTATGTGTATAAAATAATTTCCTACCTATCATATTTGAGAGCGTGAGCACCCATGTACTCCAGAATTTTGTGGGGGGGGGGGGAAGACATCTTTTGATTAAGAGCAGATAGATTTTGGTAAACTTACACAACTACATAAATTTTATACTAATACCATTTCCCCCAGGAAATGAAATGGGGTTTAACATCCTACTGTTCTGCTCCGACTGGGCTAATAAAAAAGGGGCATTCGCCATACAGTGTAAAGTGAGGGAAATTTTTGGCCCCATCCAGTAGCACTATGGCCTACTCTTATATCAAATTCCAATTGCCAAGGAACCTTTTACACACACGCCATACACATGACCTTGGTTTTTCGTACTATCCGAACGACTAGACAGCTGTCCTTGTCAGGCCTTCTGACCTCCGTCCTGCACCGCTGACAAAGGGAAACCATGTCGGAAAATCCTGATGAACTTTCTCGGCCAATGCAGGGATCCAACAATTGACCTCCAGACTAGCGAGCCAGCATCTTACTCACTTAGCCACCGTGGCTCCCCCATTTCCACAGCACTAAAAAGTATAAACCAAAGAACAGATGGTGTATTATGTCATTTATTTATGACTAGGAAGACAGAATAAGAGTTTAGTAATAAGTGAGTCGGAAATCGCAAGTCTTTGACGATATACAAACAAAAACATTAAAATGATATACACATATTATGCAAAATCTAAGAGTTGACAAAAAAAAAAGCAAACTAAATTTTAAAAATATTTTAAGTCTATTTTTAAATTTATGTTAATATATCGTAAACAATGACTTGTGACTTCCTGACTCACTTTGCTGTCACTGGTTAGTTACATACAAAAACATATTTAACATAATATAAATATATATACATTTAAGAATAAAAAAATAAACTCATAATTCCATCTTAAAACTTTGGTCGGATTTTAAAGCTATTTAAATAGTTTTATTGTGTTATTATGTCTGCTGTCCAACAGACTATGCTATGTTTAAAACCATGTTAAAAGGATTTCCTTGATATTGCATTTAAAAGGATATAATGCATGGGCTCCATGTCAGCCATATATGCTGGTTAAGATCAAGGACTATGGAAAATAACCAAAACTGGATCTGAATCTTCGGTCATTTTGCAGGCGAGACAAAATAACATATTTTGTGCTGTATCATAAAAATCCTGAACACAACTAAATTCATGCGCGTTGTTATGTAAATTGTCGGGTATAATGGTTAAATTTCCATAATTGTTTTGTAAAATTTCCCTGATGTTGATAAATTTATAAAATTTCTCTGATGCAGGTAAGTTTATACAGTTGTCTAAACCAGCTAAAATATTTATCACTATAAAGTCATGCATTATGAAATTTAGATAAATTTGACAAGAGAAATTCTCTAGATTCAGACTGAGTTATAATATGATTCTTTTATTTTATCTTTTTCCAACAATTTTTTTCCTGTAAAATTGATCTTCTCCAGGAATGATAAGAAACAGGCTGTCTTGAACTTCAAACATGGTAATAGTCTTGAGATTGTTTAGTAGACATTATGTTTGATATTGTTTACATTTATTATAAAACTAGTTTGTTTTATTTTAGACAGGTTGACTACAGATAAGTGTTATAATACTCAAAGATGGCTTCTCACTGAAACCAGTGCGGTTTGCTAAAAATTCTGTTAGCATGCATGGAAACTGAGCCTGGTCCCAATTAATTCAGTACATCTTTGTATGGCATGTGACCTTGACCAATTAGGCAATTTAAATTAACTTTTTTTGTGAAGAGTTCCACACATAACTGTGCTGAAAAAAAATAGTTCTGGCACTGATAGCAGAAATGGGTACAACCTCTCTAATTGCAAATTGTATCTCACACCTCCAGTTTAAATTCTTATCAATTATGCATTGAAACTAACACTGGGGGGGGGGGGGCGGCATGCTTTTTAATGAAAAATAAATATACATGGTATGTTAGTCCTAAAATAAGCTAGTTGTGTTTTCAAGAGAAGACGTTAAAACCCAATTTCTTCCCCACTTCCACAACTATTTTAATAATATAACAACATCAAAGGACTGTGAGTGACATTTCATTTTTTAAAAAATCATTATCCTGTAGCATGTTGTCAGTTGTACGTAAAGGTGATATATAGGTATATCATATGTAAATATAGATAGTTGCACATAGATCAATCATATGCAAATATAGCATATATATATCCATATAGACAAATGTCTGTTATTTATATCCCATATAAAACTTATAAGTACTTTTGTACCTTCTGAATCCTGTGTCTATATTAAACATGCATTATGTAAGAGCTAAATCTGCCTATTGCAGGTCTTTTTTCTGGCTTCAAATGTTATATAAGCTTTAATTTTTACATTTATTCACATGACCAGCCTATAATCAAATCGTTAGATAATCAGATGGCTGAGATTTCAATGGATTAAAACACCTGCAAGATTTAAAAATTTAATGATAAATTGGATAATTGACACTTAGACCCGATTTTATGATAATAAACAATTGTTGCTTCATCTTTATTTAAACTGTCATAACTTCGCACAGAATGAACTAATTTGAATGAAATTTTCAATATATTCATTTTTCATTATCTATTTTTGAACTATTATAGCAAGAATGGTCAGCTTTTTATCTTTATCTTACAATGTATCTTTAATTTGTGAGCCTTGGTAGCTCTGTGAGTATTACCATAGCTTACTAGCCAGGAAGTCTTGTGTTCTATCCAAACAAGTTCCTTGAGATTTAGGGGGTTTTGGATGGCCGAATGGTTACAGTGTGCGCATTGTATCATAAGGTCTGTCATTACTGACGTGATTTTGATTCCCCGGTTATACGTGACAAGGAGTAGGGTCGTCTGTCCAACCTGGTGGGTTTTACTCCCTGTCCTCCGGTTTCCTCCAACTGCTAAAGACCCCTACACACAAACAAATTATTGAAATAAAATTAAACCATATGTTGGTTTGTGTAAAGTGTACGTTAAACCCCACTTCTCTCTCACTCTCCTTGAGTTTTTCCAGCCTAGTAACCCCTTGTCATTGGTGTAGGATGTAAGGGCCTGGCAATGAACAATATTCTGTGAAAGTTAGTCACAGAAATCTGGACAATCCCTGACTGCACTTCTATCTATACCACTGAACACTTCTTGACCATTAGGGGTCAAATTCAAACAAGAATAGTTCGACTTACAAATATTTATTGTAAAAACACAAATAAATAACTGATATAGAATTTAACTATTTTCGCATTGGTACTTTCAAATAATAAAAAAAGAGCTTGCTTTTCCCCAAATTTAAGCAAGGTGCACATGTATATAAGATTTTGGAAACAATCTGTTCAGTCTACATACTAGGTAATTTTAGTACCACTACACTTATAATATGGAGTAGGGTCGCCTGTCAAACCTTGCTGGTTTTCTCCCATTCCTCCGGTTTCCTCCCACTGCTGATGATCCCTACACACTAGCGAATTATTGAAATAAAATGTAATTTCATATGAACCATATGTAATTTCAAATAATAAACAAAAAAGCTTGCTTTTCACAAAAATTAAGCACAGTGCACATGTATATCAGATCTTGGAAACAATCTGCTCATACTGGTTAAGTACCACTACACTTATAATATACTTGGCTACTAGTCTCTATACTAAATATCTCCAACACCTAGACTTAATCCCTCAAACAGTCCCAGGTGGAAAATATGGAGGAGTAATTGAAATCTGACTTGAACACTCAGTGGAATATCAATAAAGTATAAAGAATTTGATATACTCCTTTAGGGGACGGGTGATATATATGGTACATATTAACAACAGTCTGATATATCACGCATCAAATTCCATTTTCATTCTTTCCAATGATATTCTCATGATACAAGCAATAACTTATAAATAATGTACTGAGAGAATTTTTATTTTTAAAATGCATACAAATTGTCATTATTTATTTTCAAGTTGACAGGTTTCCATCAATTATTGCTACACCTGCGGATCGTCAGTTGCATCATTCAGACAATATTAAATTTTCCATGGCTTAATGCACACTCAAATTGTTTATTTAACATTTAATTAACATAACATCCCAACTCGGATTCAATCGTGTGGCTCTGGTTTGTTTATATTATTCTCAGAAAATGCTGAACGTTGCCAAGTTTTCAGTTACTCATATCTTTATAAATACTAAACTGGATTTAAATATTTTCCGAATGATATTTTTTCATGAAAACAAAACCAAACAGTCAATGGTAGATATTCTCCCAGCTTGGATTCAATAAGAGCAACCCCAGACCCATCAAAAGTTTCTACCCAATGATTATAGGTGGTGCTGGCTTGTTTATTTTGTCTGCAGAAGATGCACAATTTTATTATGACTTGTTAGAAATGATTTTTGTTTTCAAAATATTTTTGGGACTGACAGTTGTAATCTCTATCAAAATAATTTTTTAACCTGCACTGGTTACTCTTTCCAGAACATCAGATACCACTTCTCATTTGTATTTACTTGAGCATTAATAAAAAAACACAACTTTGTAGATTTACTTAGTTTATTTCATGCAACGTTAAGGAAGACATGCATACGCCATACAGTGTGCTATGAGGGAAATTTTGCCTGGCACTATCGCCTACTCTTATATCGAATTCCAACTGCCAGGGGATCTTTTACGGGCATTCTAATATATACACGGGATCTCGATTTTTCGTCTCATCCGAAGGACTAGACAGCTGTCCTTGTCAGGCCCTCCGTCCTGCTTCACTGACAAGGGGGAACCACGCCTGAAAATCTGGATGAACTTTCTCGGCCAATGCAGGGATCGAACACCCGACCTTCAGGCTAGCGAGCCAGCGTCTTACCCACTTAGGTATCTTTATAAAGCCAGGGGTGGGGGGTAGTTTGGGTGGATGGCTGAATCAGAAGGTCTGTCAGTCAAGTAACACGATATGTGACAAAGACTATGGTTGTCTGTCCAACAGCATGGGTTTTCTCAGGGCCCTCCGGTTTCCTCCCACTGCTAAAGACCCCTACGCGCAAGTGAATTATTGAAATAAAATTGAACCATATGATAGTCTCAAAATGACAAAGTTTGTGTCGATGGGATGGCTCTCTCTTTAAACAGCCAAGTTTAGTATTATCAATTCAGCCAAATAATATGTTTGTGATGAGTCTGAGGTTACCTTGTTTCTCAAACCAAGCACTGAGTTATCAAATTAAATCACCTTTTTTATTCCTACGACATGCTCATGTACATTAATTAAGAAACTATTTCTTTTAGAACCTGTTTCTTCCATGGGATCTAAGAAGATTGCGAAGAAGAAAGTAGCGAAAAACTTTCTATAGCATCCATTTTAATCACAATTCCAACAAAAGATCTATTGTAATGGGCAGTTTTATTTCAGGAATCCAATCTCAGACTTTCAAAAAAATTTTCCAAACTACTGCCAATTTGCCGTTAACAGCAAATGAAAGAAACATTCGCTTCCAAGATCTGTTAAAATATTGGATTTGAAAATAAACACTGACACATTGGCTGGTTAGCTGACACAGAAAACATTGGTGAGGATAAGATAAATGAAGAAAAGATAAATAAATTCTGGTTACTAATTGGTGTGGATTCCTGCAAGTGAACACTGTGGTATATAAGATAGAGGTCAATATATACCAGACTACCTGGAGTTCCATTAATAGGGGGTAGAGAGAGAGAGAGACAGGGAGAGAGAGAGAGAGAGGGAGAGTAGCATCCACTCCACCACACAAACTATGTCACTTTGGAATTTTAGTATTGATAATAAATCATTAAAGATACATTATGTAAGATTTAGATAAAGAACTAGCCATTCTTGCTATAATAGTTCCAAAGTAGATGATGTAAAATGAATAATTTGAAAATTTCATTCAAATTACTCTATTGCAAGCGAAGATATTAGCCTTTGAAGGTTTGACAGACGTGTGCAATAATTTCAACCACCGTACTGGTTGATCAAAGCTAAGTCTCGGTCCTCCATATTTGATTAAATCAAAGTATCGCTGAACCATTCTAATTTATTTAATATCAGAGAAATCTGATGCCATCGAGAGTTCATTAAGGCCTGGATCAGTTAATTAATGTCTAATTAATTTAGAAATCATTTCAGGCCTAAAGAAAGACCTGCAATAGGCAGATTTAGCTCTTGCATAATGCATGTTTAACATTCTTTCATGATCATTTTTGTAGTTTGAACAAGCGAGCTTTGTCAAGTTCCGGTCAAGAATGGATGACAACATGATTAACCAAATGTACACAAGCAGAGAAGCAGAGAATACAAGCAGCAGTTAGATCCAATATGATGCTAGTTCACCATTGACCAATCCCTTTCTTTACTGAATTAAAAAAAAACAAAAAAACAAACAAATACAGATAATTTGCCAGTAAGACAGAACCAAAAATAGAAAACACACTAGAAACCAGTAATGGTGGTTTTTTTTTTAAATCTTATGGATTATAAATGGGCTGCCATAAATTACTTTGCACAATTTTTCTTATGGTTCTCTTTAAAGTTTAATATCATTCTTCCTGCTCAAACACATCAACTTCCAAAATAAACCATCAAAGATTTGGCTGGAACAATCAGGCATTTAATCTGAGTTTGATTGTAGAAAGGCAGACATATTGGATATGGTGCTGCTGGTTGCTAGGGGTATTTATGACTCCGTTACTCTACATACCACATGTCTTGTCAAGATAAAATGTGGAGATAATAAAAATACCGGACTATTTTAAACATATTCTACAACAATCAAACACCCATAAACCCATCTTTCTTACTGTACCTTTAGATCTACCTGAAGGATGATATAATTTGTAGGTGCAACGTGATCATTGTCTATGATGATAAAAGGTGATATATAGATGATCATCTACGAGAATTACAATCAGAGGTTTCTGTGTAAAATGTTTTGGTCATAGATCACTAGAATTCTATGTTGCGTGTAAGCTATTTCAGAAATGGATCTAAATGTTGTAGTGAGCCATACATTAACTATTAAAGAAGAATAAATTTATTGGTAGGTACCATGCATGAGGTGGGGTCTTATGTCATTGCGAAATGCATTGCACCACATTTCAAAATGAAATGAAATGAAATGGGGTTTAACGTCCTACTGTTCTGCTCCGAACTGGGCTAATGAAGACGAGCATACGCCATACAGTTTGATATGAGGGAAATTTTGCCCGGACAATGGCACTACGGCCTACTCTTATATCGAATTTCAACTGTCAAGGGATCTTTTACATGCACACCAATGTGTACACAGGACCTTGGTTTTTCTTACCATCCGAATGACTAGACAGCTGTCCTTATATTCGTGCACAGATAAAAGATAAATGAAATGGGGTTTAACATCCTGCTTTTCTGAATCCCCGACTGGTCTAATGAAGATGGTAGTCCCGAAATGACCTAGTTTGTGTCGAGTGGACGTTAAACCCCATTTCTCTCTCTCTCTCTAATGAAGATGGGCAATTTTCCTTAAAAAGCAGCTTTTTTGCCTATTCTTTATCATATTTCAACTGCCAAGGATTCTTTAAAGTCAATACCAAATTATACATGGTTTCCCAGATTTTTGTCCCATATGAATGACTAGACACTATTCTATCCAGCACCAGGGACAAGTAGAAATCACACTGAAAATCTCCTGGTTAATGAGCCAGCTCCTTGGTCACAAGAGTTAGGATTAACTGCTAGGAAAGATTAGGTCAGGCGTTGGAATCGGTTTTGAAACTATCATATTTTATTTACTGATTGTTTTTAATACTGGTAGCCTGACAGTTGAAAGAAGCATGATATTGATGAATAATTAATATATATTTCAATTAAACCAATTGTAGCCCTCTAATGATATCAGACAGATTTTATGAGGTATTTTTACCCACCATTCTAACTCTATGAGTGTTTTACTGCCATTCTGACTATATATGTTAATAAAACCCTATATCCATTATTTCCTCTATGCTAGTTATAAATCACTCATGTGTAATACTTGTTTTAAAAACACAGAGAGAGAGAGAGAGAGAGAGAGAGAGAGAGTTCAGTTCTACAACTATTTGATCCATCCATTAAATATTGGATACTGTACATTCCATTTTCAATTAAAGTGACATGTGAAACAGTCATGATCAGAACTGTGGTTTTCTATCCAATCCGAAGTACTAGATATAAGTTATCTCTGTTCTGCATCACCTCAGCACAGCAATTAGATCCTGTATGGTGCTCCATCATGGGTTAAAAATATGTTGGGTTTTTTTAAATGCAAATTTCAAGCAGCTTCTAAAAGTATGACTTCTGCCCAATACTGTACATATTGAACATGATGACATCAGATGGTCTGTAGTCTATAGAGGTAAATATGTTGTATATAGGGTATGAATGTTTAAAATATGTAATTGATCTACGTCTATCATAAAATAAATATTGACAACAATTCTACTATCTTTCATCTATTGTTATCAAGACTTCTATTCATTCAGTTGTAAATAGTAACTGTGCATTGGGACCTTGAAAAAAACCAATTGTGAACAGCCTGCGTAAATTGATTTAATAAGTTTGCTCCACATTCTAATATATATACGTTATAATGTTATAAAACCAGTGTTGAAATCCAGTAGTATTAGCACAAATGTAAAGCTGTACTACTTTCTTGCGCTGTAAATAATGAAAAGATAAAAGCCAACACATACTGATTTCAAGTTGGTTTAATAACATTTTAACATTTGAAAGTATTTTTTGCTCTTCTGGGAGCTCTTTAACCATGAAATTTTGTTCAAACTATGCACAACTTTATTTCATAATCTTTATATGACATTTAGTAACTGCACAATTTCCTACTTTCAGGGATTCTTCAGCATCCAAGCAAACCAAATGCTTTTCTTTGGCATGTCATCTCTCCTGACCACTGTCAAGAAGGGGGAAACAGTGATGTAAAATGAAACAAAAACAAACCCGATTACCTACATGCCTATAAACTATGCATTTCAACAATATAGATGTTGAGGTAAATGATTTGACTGGCCATTCTTCTCAAACAATTACATTTTGGCACTCATGTGATGTGCTATTACCTTATATTTATATCAGTCTGATTAGAAATAATAAATAAAATTATAATCTAGGTTTCATTAGATTGTAGCATATGTATGTATACGGCCATATCAATAATTTGTGCATTTATGCATTTTGGAATCCAGAATTGATAATCATAACTTCATGGAGTATATTTGAAGGGTATATAACAGTGTAATTGTGGGGGTATATTTGAAGGGTATATACAGTTTAATTGTGGGGGTATATTTGAGAGGTATACAACAGTTTTATTGTGGGGTATATTTGAGGGGTATACAACAGTGTAATTGTGGGGGTATATTTGAAGTGTATATAACAGTGTAATTGTGGGAGTATATTTGAAGTGTATATAACAGTGTAATTGTGGGAGTATATTTGAAGTGTATATAACAGAGTAATTGTGGGGGTATATTTGAAGGGTATACAACAGTGTAATTGTGGGGGTATATTTGAAGGGTATACAACAGTGTAATTGTGGGGGTATATTTGAAGGGTATACAACAGTGTAATTGTGGGGGTATATTTGAAGGGTATATAACCATGTAATTGTGGGGGTATATTTGAAGGGTATACAACGGTGTAATTGTGGGAGTATATTTGAGGGGTATATAACCGTGTAATTGTGGGAGTATATTTGTGGTGTATATAACTGTGTAATTGTGAGGGTATATTTGAGGGGTATATAACAATGTTATAGGGGTATATTTGAGGGGTACATATCGGTGTAATCTGGTGGTATACAACAGTATCATTTTGTTAAAGCATATCCAGATAAAAATCTACTATCTCTTGGATTATATTACTATATTACGCTCAGAATGTTTCAGGACCTGAAAGAACATCTGGACAAAAGATGGTAACGGAATACTGGACAAACGTGTGGTCAATAAATAAACAGAAATGTTCCAAACATCATAGTTATTTCCTTAATGACTGCCTCAGTTTATCTTGGCTATATACCTATAGTTCCACGTAGATACATCAAAGTAGAACCAAGGAATCAGAATGCAAAGTTTCCTTCTACGGAATGAGTACCAAGACATTTCATGAAGGGTCAGTTTTCACTGCCACAAAGTTGTGTGTTGGTAATTGAAAACTGATGTTTCCACAATAATTTGTATCTTTCTTTTGAATCCCTTCCAAGAGAGAAAGAGAAATGGGGTTAAACGTCCACTGACACAAACTAGGTCATTTCGGGACTAATATATGGTTCAATTTTATTTCAATAATTCGTTTGTGTGTGTGGGTCTTTAGCAGTTGGAGGAAACTGGAGGACCTGGAGAAAACCCATGAGGTTGGACAGCCGACCCGACTCCTTGTCATGTACAACTTGGGAATCTAAACCATGCCAACTGACGTGCACACGGTAACCATTCGGCCATCCAACCCCCCGAATCCCTTGCAAACTACAATATTGTTAAAGTTGTATCCCAGACCATGACGATTTAATTCCGTTCATTTTTGTAAAAATATGAGGAATCGAACAATTCAGAACATTCGACAACCTATGCAGATAATATAAACAAGTAATTGAAGTCAGCACCCCCCCCCCCCCACAAATATTGGGTATAATCATTTGATGGACCTCATTTTAATCTGATTGAATCCAAAGCGGAAGATTATCAACTATTGATGTTTTGGTATTGTTTTCTTCACTAAATAGTCAAACCAGATAAAATGATTTTTTTATTTTTTTTTTGATCATCCCACCAAATACTCTCAAAGCGTTAATACTCTCTAATGATAAAAAAAAAATTGTTGTGTTAGACACTCACCAATACTAAAGGTCTAATTAAGAGTTGAATTCAGGGTATAATATGTATGGGCAGAGAAAGGTGAAGTGTGTTGTCTGGCTATGTGATCTGTTAAAAGGTTAAAGCTACAATCATCTCTAGTTTACGTCTAATTCTAATACCACTAATACTTTATTTTAGCTCTTATTACAGACTATTCTTTTAACACAATGTATGGACTAGACCTGACAGACGCTCAGATTATAGATGTCAAAATAAAAAAAAAGCTCAACAATTACATAGAACAAAATAATCTTTTTAGTCTTGATATTAGACATCAAATAAAAAGTGTAGATGACCTTGGAACAGCATTAAACTATCCCAGCTAATTATCCCTGACTGGCCAGTTTTCACTGCTTTAAGTGTTTTGGTTCTGTTATGCAAGATCTTTTTCAACTTCCAAAGTAAAAGTTTGGTAATAAGACCACCTTAAGGTAAGTTTTAAATGTTCCTATTATTAATTAGAACATGTTTCACTTTAGTTTTTATATTTTACGCTGACATTTTATTGCTTTAAATCTTCCTAGTGCAAAAACGGAAAACTTGACCTTTTGATCTCCCTAGTCACAAAGAACAAAGGTGAATTTAGCAAGTTTACGAGGCTAGATATGTTCCACAAGTCATGTCAAACAGTGACCGCATATTCTTATCTGAAGAGCATGCGCAATAAGCACTATCGATGTAGACTGGAATAACCAGATGCTAGAGATTGGCATTTGATTGAGACCTCTAGCGTATTACGCCGAATATAACTGATTAGAAATTACAGTAAAAGCAGAAACGATTGAATGTAAACCAGTTTGTATACATTCATACTACGTTATTATTTGCGTTGCGACCCAATTGTAACAATTTCAAGGTCCAGAATATTAGCGATTTAGCTCCTTTAAGTTAAGTTGGTGAAAACATGGCCAGACATTCACCTCTGAGTGTATGTAACAAGGCGTAGGTTTGCTGGGCTAGCATTGTGGTACTCTCATTTCCTCTCACTTAGAAATACCTCTACCCCCTGTCTGAAACTCCCAATATGCCCAAGTTACTCTTCCGTGGACATTAAACTCCATTTCTCTCTAAACTATCCTTTAACTTTCCAAACCTACACATAGTTTTTAAATGACTTTAACTTTTACGGTTTTTACAAGTGTTCATTATTATTGTTACAAGAGACAGGTAAATATATTCCAGCTACTATAGGTGGTATATTAATTAAGTTGTGGTCACTTTATATCCTTGTAGATATGTACAGTAATGAGGTGTAGACAGTACAACATGTTTTACACATCAACCATTCACTATACATGTACAACATTCTCCATTCTTTAATCACCACCATTTGTACTATCTATAACTTACTATGGTCAGCTGTTTGAAGAGTCAAAGAAATGAAATGGGATTCAATGGCCTACCTTTCCGCATCACCTAGGATAATTAAGATAGGTAAAGTATCTTACGAGAGAAATTTTGCTCCGGGTAGCAGCTATACTGCCTACTCTTATTTTCGAATTTGATTGGTCAAAGGTTCTTTTACGTGCACGCTGTGTACATGAGATCTTGTTTTTTGTCCCATCCAAACAACTAGATGCTGTTCCTGCCATACTATCAGTCCTGCATGACTGACAAGAGGAAAACAAGCTGAGGAACTTTCTTGGCCAACACTGGCATCGAACACTAGATCTCCTGCGTAGTCATCCAATATCAAACTGGCTGAGTCAACTGCGACTCCCAAAGTGTAAATGGGAAGGAAATCTGTAAATAAAGCCATTGGTTACAGACATTGTCAGACACAAATTAACATTTTATCAGGCACAAATCATTTGGTGTCTGTCATTACATCCAGCACAGACTTCTCTTTTGACAACATTTTTATTGATATTTTTAACAAATGTCCGGCATAATGACAACAAGTTGTTGTTATGCAAGCTACAACACATTTTATTGATATTTACCGGCACAAATATAAAAATGTCAAGGGCTAGTGCCCATCAGGTAAAACTATAATGAATATTTACAGGTAGAGTAATACCAACTCAATACCACCGATTTAATATTCATTTTGGGACTAACACATGGTTTTACACAGGTTTTTTTTTTAAACTTTCTGAGATATTCGTCAACGTGTCGAAGTTCAAAATATCTGTTTGTGCCTATTTATCTACCATGTGATGATGTAACGTTGATTTAACGTGTAAAAACATAAAATCAGATTGTAGAACAGTGGTAGACTAAATATTTAGAAAGTTTAAATGTTTGATTTGATTTCTTCTCAGTATATCTCCATAAGATATATAAAATTTATTTTCAGTTTAAAGAGACCATATATCACAGTCCATTGGCAGCTCTGGGAACTTGAAACAATATATTCTATAAAATTAAATTGAATTCTATCATCAGATTTCCATACTTGTTTCACTACTTATAAATTTTCTGTGAAACTTTCTTATATTGTTTTCATCAGAATTGCTGGGAACAATTCAGGTTCAACAGTTTTTCAACCTCTTAAACCATTTTTTGGGTCAACAATCAAGCTTGTTTATTTAACTAGATCCATTCAAGATGACAAGCTATATGATATAAAATGCTGAGGTTTCAGCCAATCATAATTACAGACTTTGCAACGAAATAGTGCATATACCTTAGAAGAAGCACTCCAGAGGCATGGTCAGTCTTGCCACAATTCTATTAAAATATTTTTGTTGACATCATCAACATTTGAAAAGTGTCTTCATTCGCATCCATTTTGCTTATTTATAAAGTTGCTTTGAGTTTTATGAGGCTCTTGGGTGACCTTTTTCAGTTGCATTCAGTCGCCTCTTGTTGCCGAATCGCCAGTTGCTTTCAGTTGCAAGGTCGACATAAGCCACACCTTTAGGTAATTCATATTTATAGGTAAATGACCTCCATGAATCAGTAGTGGCATCAGGTGTTTTAGAAAGAGTAAGTATCTGGCTTGTGGCCTCTTTAATCACTTGTATTTATGCTATGTAGAACAAACTTTGGTCAGCTGTTAAATATATACTGCCCTTGTAGTATAACTACAGATTAACATACCATCCAAAACACTTTTACTACCAACTTCAAAGTCAAACAATCTTAAATAGTTTATCATGAGGTCAAATGGGTTCATTTCATAAGGTACCCTTCATATATCATTCCAACATGTCTACAGAGCCAGGGTGATTCTTTCAGAAATCTTAGAAAAATAAATGAACTGTCCTTCAATCTGCTTGTTAAGTCTTTTACCTTTCAGTAAGTTCTGGCATCTTTTCAAGACAATTTAAGATCAGTGTGCAACTCTCAAGACCAGACTACATCTTGGGGAGGCCTGTCAAACATTTTTAACAATTCAATTCCTAAAAACACACCATTTTCTGTTACAATTGAAATCTGAAAGTGTTAAATTAGCTATCTGGCTGATGTGATTGTCTTTTCTGGTAAACATTTTTTCAATTTCAAGCTTAAACCAACAACAAAATGGCTTTCAAAGTGAGCCTCTTTAAATTTTATTAGAAACTGTATCAGGAATTCTAACAAGGGCTAATACTTCTCGAACATGAGAGCAAGTTAACACAAAACCGCTAGGTAATTTCAAGATTAACATTTGACAGGTGGAGAAAGCCAATGAGTTTATGCAAGCAACCTTCCTTAGTCACTCACACACAATCAGGATTTTTTGTGCAATGTAGCACTAGATTTTAAGTCCACTCGACACAAACTAGGTCATTTTGGGACTAACATGGTTCAATTTTATTTCAATAATTCGCAAGCGCGTAAGGGTCTTTAGCAGTGAGAGGAAACTGGAGGACCCAGAGAAAACCCACGAGGTTGGACAGGCAACACTTCTCCTTGTCACATGCAACCAGTGAATTGAAACCACGGCAGTTGACTCAATGACAGACTTTATGATACAACCCCATACAGCACCCTTGTCACGTGCAACCGGTGAATCGAAACCACGGAAGTTGACTCAATGACCGACTTTATGATACAACCCCATGCAGCACCCTTGTCACGGGCAATCGGTGATTCGAAACCACGGCAATTGACTCAATGACAGACTTTATGATACAACCCCATACAGCACCC